TGCTTCCACAGTTGATTTACTCTTCTGGAGAGAAGGGAGAGTTCGTCTTCTTCTGATGAGGATCCATCAGATGTTTCTTCAACTGCCTGCAAAACTTTAGACTCAAATTTTCTGTTAGATTTTAATGCTAAAGGCTTACCTTGCTTCTGAGGCTCATCAGCTTCTAGCTCTATCTCATGACTTCTGAGGGAGCTGATAAGTTCCTCCAGAGTGATTTTGTTGAGATCTTTAGCTAGCTTCAGAGCTGTAACCATAGGTCTCAACTGCTTGGGTAAACTTCTGATGATTTTCTTAACATGGTCAGCAGTAGAGTATCCTTTGTCCAGAACTTTGAGACCAGCTACCAGAATCTGGAATCTAGAGAACATGGTTTCAATGGATTCAGATTCTTCCATTTTGAACGCCTCATACTTCTGAATGAGCGCCAGAGCTTTTGTTTCTTTGACCTGAACGTTGCCCTCATGCGTCATTCTGAGTGAGTCAAAAATATTCTTTGCTGTGTCTCTGTTGGAGATCTTTTCATACTCAGTATAGGAGATGGCGCTGAGGAGGATGGTTCTGGCCTTGTGGTGATTCTTGAAGTCACGCTTTTGTTGATCAGACATTGTTTTTCTATCAATCTTCTGACCACTTGCATTCACAGGGTGCGTGTATCCATCTGTCACCATATCCCACAGATCAGCATCATGTGCCAGAAAGAAGCTTTCAATTATGTCTTTCCAGTAATCAAAGTTTTCTCCATCAAATACTGGAGGTTTGCCACTGAATCTGTCTCTGTCCTCATTGTTGTCATTGCTGATGTGAGAATTGTTTCCTGCCATTGTGTTTTTCTGACGCTGGATCTTGTACTGACACGGTTAAGTGTTTTAGCTCAGAACCAGGCGCTCTGATGCCAATTGAAGTGGTGAAAAACACAAGAAGGGGGGGTTGAATTGTAAAACTGAAATCTAATGCAATGAACAAGATATTTTTATCCTGGTTCGTTTGATCTCAAACTACTCCAGTCCACCCGTCAAGGTGATTTCGCCTCTCTCCAATGAGGTCTTAATCCACTATATTCAACTGAATATTACAGACTGCTTTAACAACTGCTAAAGCCTTCTTGATCCAAACCACAACCCGGTTTGTCAAGGTAACACTTTCTTACAAAGAGATAAAACTAAGTGTGTGAATGTTTTCTACAAAACTTTATCACAACTGTGATGTATACACAATTGAAGCTTAGACACTAGATTGCTAAACAATGATAGAATATCAGAGTGTGTGGTTTAGCAAAACTGAAAGAAAGAAGATTATAATTAGCTTTGTGCGTGTAGAGATTTGGAGAGCATTAGCCATTTCAATCTTCAAAGCCTTGTTTATATAGCACTGAGATGATGAACGTTGGATGCAATATTCTTGATTCAATGCTAATAACAAACTTTCCTTATTGAGCAGATCTTGTCTGGAATGAGGCCGTTGGAATTAATTTGCTTTCAATGCACAGTACCGTTGCTTACTTAATGCAAGTTCTGGCTTGGCTCATTCTGACTCTGCTTCGCTGCTGATGAACTGTTGTGTTTCTTTATCAGAGTGTTGAGCGCAGTCTTGTTCATCAGGCTTCAGCATGTACGTGAGTTGATCATCTGATTTTGACATTCTGATATGGCAACTTCTGATGCTGGTGTCTGAAATCAAGTTCTGATGCTGAATAGATGTGATCTTGCTTATGTCAATCAGAGTATCTGCAAGTCAGAACATAATAATTTTAGGCAGCAGATAGTTCATAAATGAAACTTATAAATACTATATCTTTTCACTTTGTTATCATCAAAACTTAAATATAGGGTAGTAGATTCAAACTTTGTTCTAACATGTTGCACTTTTATCCACAAAGAGGGACGTGCCATACAAGAACATGAAGTAACACCGCAAAGCACAATTTCGATGGTACTGAACAAAAACCCCGTTGCCCTCATGCTGAAGCGGTAAAGCGGCAAGCAAAAGTAAGTATTTTTATAGGTTATATCATATTGTCTCCACAGGGATTACTGTTACTAAATTGTCGTTCGACAATTTCTTGAGTTTATGAGTTTGGGGTTGAATGGGTTTAAAGTAATTGCGAGAATTAAAAGTTATAAACAAAAAAAGAATTCATTCATTGGAGAAGAGACTTATCTAGCATGCATATAATTCACTCCTCACAAACTTAAACCTATTGACCAGTCATACTCACCCTACAGGACTCATAAATGTCATCACATATCAACCACAACATCCACTGTATCATATCAGAAGTGATCTCTCAACCAACCTCAACAACACAGAAGACAACTGTGCTACTCGCATTGACGATCTCTCAGCACAACACAACCAACACAGAGGCTTTAAGCATAGACACCCAAGTGAATAATAGCTCTAAATATATCTCTAGAATCTAGATACTATTAGATAATCACCCTAGATAAGAATTCAAGCAGTATATGTCTATAGCAACCCAAACCCCAAAGCATAGAGCAAAAATTCAGGATAATAATCGACAAAGATTTGTAAATCAAGCTTTATATAACGCCATGGGGGACAAATGTACATGATTTAAAAGTAAATATATATACAAAATCCAACAAATGAAGAATACACAAATAAGAAGATAAATTAACCATAAATCTCTTGGATTGTCAGTGTCGGTCGATGAGAAATTCACCACGGATCATCCATAGCTCCATTATTGTTGTTTTCTAAGCTAATCTACCAAAAATACGAGTTTGATGGTGTTGGGACTAAAAAATACCCAACCAATAACCTAAAAATGTGTTTGGAACTCTATTTATACACTTTGAAACCCACAGATCCCGCTCAGCATGCACAGAGGGTGCTCCGTGCGTTCTATGATGTTTCGAAAAAAATCAGCATTGTGTTTTTGCCATAACTTGAGAACCGTAATTCCGATTTACGCACAATTTAAAGCATTGGAAAGCTTATTCAATATCCTATCTAAAAATGATTAAATATCAACCAAATTCATGATTTTTATCTTTCTTTTTTTGAGCTTTATTCTTTAATGAATTACCAAAAATTGCACTCTTGAAGCTTAGTCTTTGGCCTTTATTAATGAATGCTCCAATTATGAATGAATACCTACAAAAGAGATGAAAAACTATAAAGTGATATAATATTTACACAAAAACTCAATTATTCTATTATGTACACAAACTAAACGTATGTACAAATAAAGCTGAGCTTATTCAAACGATATTAACAAAAAGTATCAATAAATACAACAAAACTTATACACAAAAATAGCTACAATTTGCATTTATCACCTCATCCTCGGCCCCTGCTGCTATAACTAGGTGCTCTTCAGAAAAGGTTTTCAAGGTGAAGAATTTTACAAGCGCCCCATTAGTTGTTATGGAGCCTTTAACTGTCTGAAATGGATCAACTCCAAGATACTCAGTCATCCATTCCACCGCCTCAGCTCATGGTATTTTGTGATGGTTAAGTAATCTCTCTCTGATAGGTAGGTGGAGCAAACAAGCTACATTATCAAATGTGATCGTCATCTCTCCAACAGACCTACGAACAACCATTTTCAAGTAGCTTCTTATTCTTGCCCTAAATCATCCAAAAACCTTTTTTTGTCACCCAAACACCAACATTTAACTATTCTAACAGCAACCTACACAATGTCATTGATTCTAACTAACCTAATTAAATGTTATAGCATTGTATAGTGAATCAAATGGAAATAGAGAAAACTTACACGAATTTAGAGTTTTGGAGATGAGTTGGAATGACTTGAAAAGAGTTGAAATGAGAAGATGAGTAGAAATGAGTGGGTTATTCAAGTTTGGGTAGTAGAAATTAAGGGTTTGGAGTAGAAATATGAGATTTATGAGTTTGTAAAGAAATGTGTATTATTCTGTTCGCGATTTTGATAACAATTCAATGACTTCAGATGTGCATATTCGAAGTGATAAATTATAGGTGAATTCAGATATTCACATGCAAAGTCACCTTTTATTAACAAAAAAATAATTATTTCAAATATGCATAAGCGAACACGCCTATTATTGACAAATACAGCGCGTTCGGATATAAGTATCCAAATTCTGAAGGTATTTTGAGTTTTTCGCTAGAGATCTGAGAAAAACTTATTAGGTTTAAAGAAAAATTCTCTTTTTTTACGTGCTTTCAAACTGAGCTGTTTTACCAACTCTAAATATCCTTGACATGTCTAACTTTAAAATATCAAAAAAATTATTTTAATTTTATTACAAAATTTTGATTTAATTAACTTGCCAAAGAAAACATATCTAAATAATTATATATTACATATTTTTTGTCAAGGAGTTTAATGGCACTCATCTCCTGCTGCATCTAGTATTCCTACATAATTACAAACTAAACTGGTTTAACGAGACATCAAATATTCTAATTAATCCATATTTTTACTATTCTGTTAAACTGAAGTCTACTACGCGTGACTACGAGTTTTTGTTCTTGTAATGATTGATCTACGTAGTCAAATTTTTCCTTTTTTACAACTTGTAATATATATGGACCCTCTTGAAGGATTAGTATGCTTTACCCATTGTGAACACTTTGACAAAGCAAGGAAAGGAACATAGTAGCTAGGCTCGTAGAAAAATAGACACTACTTTCATTTGCACTTTGGTATCTTTGAATCGATCCAATCATATCACACCTAGAAACCTCATTTTTCAAATCCATCATCATCATACATTAATTATTATACACTTTTTTGAACTCTTCCTAACACTTTTTTTGTGAAAGATCGTCGCCAATTTAATTTCAACCATGCATAGATTAGATATAACTATTCTACGTGTTACAAATTTGACATAGACAACCCTTTGTCACGGCCAAGAACCACTATAAATATGTAACTAACTATGTAATTTGATAAACCACACCTATTTTCTTAAAGAGAATCATAAACATAAACATTAGAGCTACCTAGCTAAGTGAAACTTCTTTCTTAGTAGAGAATTTAGCTAATGACTTCTTTAAATTTTTCTAGATTAACCATGATCATGACTATGTCTCTCTTTGTCCTCATCATAGTAGGGAGTGCCAATGCTCAACTTTCTACAAGCTTTTACTCAAGTTCTTGTCCCAAACTCTCTTCCACAGTGCAATCCACCATGCAATCAGCCATATCAAAAGAGGCTCGAATCGGTGCTTCTATTCTTCGGTTGTTCTTCCACGATTGCTTTGTCAACGTAAGCCTTTTCATGTCTCACTAATTCTATATATATTATTGGTTAATCAAACTCTTATCAATGTGTTGAAACCTTGTGAATACCATGAATAAATTATATTTATTATTGCAATTACAGGGATGCGATGGGTCAATTCTACTCGATGACACGTCAAACTTTACCGGGGAGAAAAATGCATTTCCAAACAGAAACTCTGCTCGCGGATTTGAAGTCATTGATAATATAAAGACAGCGGTAGAGAACATATGTCCCGGAGTTGTATCTTGTGCTGATATTCTTGCCATTGCTGCCGCAGACTCTGTTGCAATTGTAAGTGTGGTCATAGCAACCAAAACCTAGTTAGTGCACTAAAACATGCAAAGGTATATTAAGTAAACATGTGTTATTTTATTTTTACATGGTAGCTTGGAGGACCATCCTGGAATGTAAAACTCGGAAGAAGAGACGCTAAGACGGCTAGTCAGTCAGCTGCTAATACAGCCATCCCAGCACCAACATCCAACCTCAGTACACTTACCTCAATGTTTAGTGCAGTTGGTCTTTCTTCCAAGGACTTAGTCACATTGTCAGGTATAATTACATTGATTTTGAAGAAAAACATTAAAGTTAAGGGAAATATATAATTTCTCAATTGTGAAGAAATGTTAAATTTTGAAATACTTGATTATTTGACTAGGTGCTCATACAATTGGACAAGCAAGGTGCACAAACTTTAGGGCACGGATCTACAACGAAACCAACATAGATGCTTCATTTGCTAGCACAAGACAATCAAATTGTCCAAGTACATCAGGCTCAGGTGATAACAATTTGGCTCCTCTTGATCTTCAGACCCCCACTTCTTTTGACAACAACTACTTCAAGAATCTTGTTCAAAACAAAGGTCTTCTCCATTCAGACCAACAACTTTTCAACGGTGGCTCCACCAACTCAATAGTGAGTGGCTATAGTACTAATCCAACCTCTTTTTCATCTGATTTTGCTGCTGCTATGATCAAGATGGGAGATATTACTCCTCTTACGGGTTCAAATGGAGAGATTAGGAAGAATTGTAGAAAAACCAACTAATATTTATGTTTAAGTTATTATTAAGGGTCCTAGCTAAACATAATAAGTTATTAAAGATGTTTTCTCTATCTTTTGGTTCTCTCTACTTCTCAGGGTTGTGTGTTATCAATTAATACTTGTTATTTTTCTTTATTTAAAAAAGATGTAAGAGGGGATTTAGTTTTGATTGTATGAGTTTCTTATTAAAAGTGTATTATATCTATGTTTCGTGTTACGGTAAACATAGTGTACATCCTTATTTGCAGCACAATTTAAGTTCAAATGCTCACAATGTCTACTGCTGCTGGTATTTCTGTTTCTAATGCTATCACCATACTAGACCAAGCCTTATGGTATTTTAGGTTAGGACACCTTTCTAGTTCTAGAATGGCTTTGTTACATTCTGATTATCCTTTCATTGTTATAGATAAAAAAATGTATTTGTGATATATGCCACTTAGCAAAACATAGTAATTTACATTACCAAAGAAGTTTCAATAAAGCTATAAAACCATTTGATCTAATACATTTTAACATATATGGCCCTGTTGCAATTAAATATATTCATGTTTTTCCATATTTTCTTGTTGTTGTTGATGATCATAGTAGATATACATGGATTACACTTATGAAATCAAAATATGAAGTTAGACAACATATCATGAATTTTGTTCACTTGATACACGCACAACACAACACACTTGTCAAAATCATAAGAACTAATAATGGACAAGAGTTTCTCATGCCTCAATTTTACCTATCAAAGGGCGTAATACACCCAACCAGCTGCATTGAATCCCCTAAAAAAATAGAAGGCTGGAGAGGAAACACCAAAAAATCTTGAACATAGGTAGAGCCTTGCCTTTTCATTCAAATCTACCAAAACAATTTTGTCGCTATGATGTCTTTCATGTTGTGTTTATTATGAATAGAGTGGCTAGTCCACTCCTCAATAACACATCCCTTAGTTTCTAATGCACAAAATATTACTTGATTTACACACCTTAAATTTTTTGTCTCTTTTGTCTATGCATCCACTTTACAATCACGCAGAGCTAAACTAGATCCAAGAGGCGGAAATTGTGTCTTCTTAGATTTCAAACCTGGTATGAAAGATTGTATTCTTTTTTACCTCAACAACAAAGAAATATTTGTCTCTTGGAACACAAAACATCGTGATAATATTGTACCTTATAACCCTGCTTCCAAACCACGAACTTGGTCCCAACATATTCACTTGAAATCATCAGCCACAAAAATAATTCAACTCCCATCCCCCAACCTAGTGAGCCTATAACTATTCAAGACCCACCTACTGATCAGACACCCTTAGATCCTAAACCTTCAGCATTACTTATATATGTGCCATTAAACTTACGTATGACCAAACCTACTGAGTCCACAACTACCCAAGATTCATCCATTGATCATACACCATCACAGCCATCAAACTTCCCCAAATTTGCTAGACAAAGCATCCTCCTACTTATTTAGAAGATTATGCGTACAATTCTTAATATGATTCAAATGAATCAAAATATTCAGGTACACTCTGTAGCGGTAGAAATATTGAGACTAAGTCATTGAATTGACTTGACTCGAATAGATCAAATTAAAAATCGTCACCGCGCTTTATTGTTTCCAAAGGAATGGGAAAAGAACGAATAACCCAAAAAGAGGGAGAGATAATCTAAGATCGGGGGTTGGTTATGCAAAGGGAAGGTATTATCATCTTAAACATCTACGGTACTCCGCATGAACCTCTTTGAAAATATGTGTATTTGGCTATAAGTGTTGTATAAAAATGGATTGTAGAGATGAGAAAAGAATTATTTTTTATAATTTTTGTACCCACCACGGTTGCGAACCTTTATTGCCTATGTACCATCTTCGTGCAATAGGAGATCAGGGTACTCGTAGTTCATCTTTAAAAATTTTAAAACACAAGTGTGTTAGTTAATTTTAAAAGACGAGGTATCATCTTTATTGTCCGAGTGGAAAACATACTTACTACCCACAATTATGAGAAAAGAGAATTTGCGTCATCTCAAAGTGGAGGATATGACTTGGATTTTAGAATTAACAAAGTCTCGCACAACATCCAAGTGGAAAATATCTCACTTTACTACATATCGTAGAAGTATAATAGTTCACATCACTACAAAAATTGACAAGAGTCTAATCTTTTATGAGAAAATTTTAAGATAAAAAGCCAAAGTGACAAAGATAATTTGAATGAGATTGATTGACTTTTAGTCTTCTCACAAAAATATCAAAGTATTATTAAGTTGATTAAAGTTTGATTAAGAATTTTTTTTTGAAAATGCATGGACATAAGTCCAAGTTTATTTGTGAAAGCGGTTCAAGTTTTAAAAACAAGAAGAGTTTTCAAAAGGAGGGAGAATATTTTTGAAATTTAGGAAGGTGGGAGGAGATGAAGAGACTATCCTAAAGTATAAGGTAAAAGTTAGGGAAAAGAACCTTCTAACCAACAAGAAGCCAACACTTGACATAATGAGTCAATGTAGAATTCTCATCCTTTGGATTTGAAACCAAACAAGTAAAGATAATAAACCTCTTAAAAAACCAAGCTTCAATTGTATTAAGTCTTCACAAAAATTGGACAGAGTAACGGCTGTATACAGATGAATTTCCGATCACAGATAAAGCATGTAATTAAAATAGCATACAAAGCAAACAAACAAACAATCCAATGTCTTAGGGGTAAACCCCAAGAACTCCAGACAAAATAACAGTTGAGATCTTAAGGTCTCTAAGTAGGTCACAACTTCTAATTCTAAGTCCAAGAAGTCCACAACTACATAATGAAAAGGATAGTAACCAAGTAGTCCAAGTAACATTAAAGTTTTTTATGGTTCAAGTTGATTATTAGGTATCTTCAAAAAGAAAATAAAAGCTCAAATGAACAAAATAAAAATGACATAAAAAGTAAATGCTCAAGTGAGCAAAGATGAAAATAGCATGAAATATAAATGCTAAAATAAATGTGCTTAAAGTAAAAAACATAAAGTAAAGCATAAAATAAAGTTCATTGTTAGGAATTAGTGGTTAGTTGAATGATCATCTTGAAACTTGGATTTGGAACTCATTAGAAGATTGATAAAATCAAAGCCTTTCAACAACAAGTTGCATTTGCTTTTTGTCAAGTATATCATTCATTTATATCTCAAGGCAACAATAAATGATCAATGATGTTTAAGTGATCCAATTTGACCAAAATTGATGAAAATTCATTGGAGGATTAGTAGGACCAAAGTCTCCTAACAATGAATCTCAAGGTTATTGGATCAAAGGGTTCAAATTAACATACTTGGGATTTCAAACATGGGTTTGGGCCACGAATGATCATTTTCTCAAATCGGGACAAAATTTAGCGCTATGTTAAGCAATCGTAAGTGGACTTATATAGAAGTCGCACCTATTTTGAGGCCGGTCAATAGCAATCTATGTACCATATGTTTTGAGAAATGATATGGAAATTATTCTCCATTAACATTTAGTACAATAAGAAGGGGATAAGATAAAGAGGGATGGGATAAGAATTAAACCACATTTGAACCAAAAATTTAATCAAACTATTTTTAAAATCATTCATCCTTTTTTTTGTGGAGTCAAACTCAACACCATGGATACAATGATGTTAATAAAGCTTATGATCAAAATTTCATAGTCCAAGATTAGCCAGAATATAATACAAAATAAAATAGTATTTTAAAATAAAGAAAAAGATTTTTAAAAAGATTTTTATATGAAAATAAAGGGGGGAAATAGCAATTGTATTCAAAACATCTAAGAAAAATCAACTAAGACCATAGAAAATCAGAAATGAGCTCAAATATTTATACAAAAGTTTTGGTAATATTTTAAAGTCAGAAAACTATTTATAAAATTAAAAGAAATATGCAAAACAAACCAAAAATTGTGAAAAATAGTAAAGTCAGGAATAAAAATAAAATGAGGTCACAAATATTTGTCAAAAGGTCATTGAATTCTTCCATTTTTTTTCAGAATTTAAAAATTAACAAAAGTATTTTTAAACGTTTAAAACAATTCAAGTGAAGTGGAAAATTATAAAAAATATCAAAACACAAAATAAAATTGTGAAAAAATAATAATCATAAACAGAAAAATCAAAAGTATTTTTTATAATTTTTTCGGATTTTTTAAAGTAAAAATGAATTTTCTATGATTTTTTGAAGTTTAAAATAATTTAAATATAAAAATCAGAAAATAAAATAAAGTTAAAAAAATGTGGACCAATGGATGAGAGTCAAAACACATTGGTAAGCTAATCCAATAGATCAGACACACTGTGCATATCATGGTCTTTACTGAATAAAGCATGGAATCATTTATTTAAATCAGATTTTGAAAAATGCGTGGCACGCCTTCATTGGTTGATAGATGACACGTTGGTCATATTCAACCTCCAGCCAACAAATCTGCAGGTTTCAAAAACTGTAAAATTAGGACACGAGACAGGTACCATTCGCTTCGTCTCTTCAAGACGATTCCAATGGTACCTTCACGAAAAATTTATATAAATTATAGCTTAGTCGTTTTTGAAAATAAGTTTTGAAAAGGGATTTGAAATTTCATGGTCAAAAAGTACTTCCAGTTGAAAACAAGTGTTACGACTAGAGTCAGGATGATGAGAGCTTCATAACAGTATCAAAGTTTGAGAGAATTGGTAAAAGAATCTACCTATTGAATTTAAGTTGCAGAGCTCTGAAACTGGACTTGGCTAGCATGATTTAGGAAGTCTCAGAGCTTAATTCTTCTTCTGTTAGCTTCAGTTAGGTTCAAGGTAGGTGAATTGACAAAGAAAAATGATTGAGAAATGCTGTAAGAGCAAATTCGAAGTTGCAGTTGAGTTCAAGAGGATGTTTGGCAGGGTGATTCTGGCTCTCTAAGCTTGAGAAAATGAATGAGGGGTGATCCTCTATTTATAGGAAAGATGATTGAATTCTCAAGCGTGTGAAATGATGAAGTTTGGAGGG